GAAGTGGAAGACTGAAACAAAATACATATAGCAATTAATCTGACATTTTTGTGCTTATATCTGCATTGTTATTGAAGCTGCAGCTCCTTATGGAAGAGGGTTGGGTCGTTGTAGTGCGTCAGACACCGCACTTAGGGACGGCGTACGGGAGTTTCTTCAACTTTGGCATAAAATGTCCACTTGGAGGTGGTATTACCTGTTTAATGTGTTATTAGCTCGACTCTAAGCTGTGAAGTGCAGCTGACAAGTCAGAGAAATAATGATATTCCACCCTGACCTGAAAATATAAAAATGGCTTCTATTGAAGTTAAGATTAAAGGGTGTGTGTGTGTGTGTGTGTGTGTGTGTGTGTGTGTGTGTGTGTGTGTGTGTGTGTGTGTGTGTGTGTGTGTGGTGACTTCTAAACTCCTCTGCCAAAGTGAACACACACCTGTCTGCCAACTGCTCTGAGCCAAGTGTACACACACACACACACACACACACACACACACACACACACACACACACACACACACACACACACACACACACACACACACACACACACACACACACACACACACACACATCCCTCTGATAACTTTGCGCAGTAATGTGATTTAAATTAATGTGTAACCAACAAGATGAAACTTGTTTCTGTCCTCTCTAATTGTGTTTCTTCTTAATATTTATCTCCTTTAAACGAGCTGCAGACGGAAACTTTATTTTATTAACGTCAGCGACTGGTTGTGTGTTTTCCCAATGGATTTTTGAAAATGTGAGAAAATGAGTTATGTGGCAAACACACCTTTATGATACTTACAGGTTTTGTTCAACAGGTTAATCTCCACATATTAACACCACTTTATGACTGAAGTAAAAAGCTAACGTTAGGCTATGGAACTACAGCGCGGTCACATGACTTCACGTCACCTCAACTAAGCTAAAGGTGGCTAATATTGGGCTATAAAGGAACTACAGCACGGTCACATGACTTCAGGTCACCACCGCTAAGCTAATGGCGGCTAATGTTGGGCTATAAAGGAACTACAGCACGGTCACATGACTTCAGGTCACCACCGCTAAGCTAATGGCGGCTAATGTTGGGCTATAAAGGAACTACAGCCGGCTAATTGGGCTATAAAAGAACTACAGCACGGTCACATGACTTCACGTCACCACCGCTAAGCTACAGGCGGCTAATGTTGGGCTATAAAGGAACTACAGCATGGTCACATTACTTCACATCACCACCGCTAAGCTAAAGGTGGCTAATGTTGGGCTATAAAGGAACTACAGCAGGTCACATGACTTCACGTCACCACCGCTAAGCTAAAGGCGGCTAATGTTGGGCTATAAAGGAACTACAGCACGGTCACATGACTTCAGGTCACCACCGCTAAGCTAATGGAGGCTAAGATTGGGCTATAAAGGAACTACAGCACGGTCACATGACTTCACGTCACCACCGCTAAGCTAAAGGAGGCTAATGTTGGGCTATAAAGGAACTACAGCACGGTCACATGACTTCAGGTCACCACCTCTAAGCTAAAGGCGGCTAATGTTGTGCTATAAACGAACTAAAAACAAAACGAACTTCCCCCGACGAACACTTTTATTACCCTTAGTGAAATCCTTAGGGTTTAAAAGTTGTAAAATGCGCCAAAAGCCGAATCCAGTGTTTTTTCCCTCTCCATTCATTTGACCTAGCCGAGAGCGGGAAATCGTAGGCAGAGCTTAAGCAAAGGCCCCGATACAGGTTTTGGGCTTCAATCGCCACAGATCAACTTTCATAGGAATAAACGGGATCCTCCACCGCTGTTTTTGTTAAACATCCATGATTGGAAGGAAGTCCCTTCAATCAGTTGCACCACCAGCATGGGTAACTAAAATGTCTACCTTGGACAATTTTTAAATAATTAAAGTGTCAGGTGCTTTCAGGTCTGTTAAAGAGGTTAAACCTGCAGACTTCTCTTCATCTCTCTTCAGCCAGGAGCATTGAACATATCATTTCTAACCCTCGTACATGATCATTAGAGTCTGCAGAGCGAGGTGTAATTTGCTGAGATGTAATCAGGCATCGCAGCAGAGAGCAGAACTCATTTGTGTCTCGCTGCCATGCGTTCGCCTGGAGTTTCTTTCTGCTCAAACATAACTGTCCTTGAACAAAGTATGTGACTTTACCTGTCTGCATTTTTCTGTATGTTGGAGTGTGTGTTGAAGCCTGCAGAGGTACTTCAAATGTATTTTCAGTCACACCGGGAGGGAAAAACATAGAGGAACAAATCACAGTCTGCTCAATCAGAAATCCAATTCTCCTTGGAGGGAAGGACAACTATTTACTTTGAATGTGAACATGGCGAGATGCAAATCCAAAGAGTGAACATCCTGTATATGTTTTTTTGAAAGATTGCTGCTGCTTCTTTTCACCTTGTTTCTGCTCAGCTTGACTGAAACCTGTAAACAAAAAGGTTTTTATTTTGTTTTCTACTTCAAACCAAGGACGTCCTCCGTCGGTCATACTCCCAGGTACTGAATTGAAGTACAACTTTACCTTAACTTTAAGTATTTTTATTTTATGCAACTTTATACTTCTACATTAATCCGACATCCTTTGTCACTGTATGTGAAGTTTGAAAATGCATCGTCCTCAAGTTGAAAAAAGGGTTGTTTTTAAGAGAAACTAATGGAAAGTTGACTTTAGAGATGTGGTTGTCTCAGGACAACACTTTTACAATTTGATGTTTTGCTGCAGAATAGAAACTAGCCAACACATTATAAAGGGGTTCCAGTTAGCACATCATTTGGCTTGTAATGCAGTTTAAATCAAAATACACATTAGTGCAACAGTCATATTCATCCAGAAGCATCGTATAAGCTTTTACAGAAAATATACTGCAAAATTACTTTTAGAACTTAAATATTAAATCCGTTTTATAGTGACTTCAGGGTTTTAAACATAACTGTTGTTGGTCTAGAAACAATAAGTAGTATTTAAAGAGGCCCCATTCCGCTTTTTATGGGTTTTCTCTTTCCTATAGGTTTCTGTGCATGTAAATGGTCTTCAAAGGCTAAAATCCCTGTGTTCCCCCTCACTGTCTGAAACGCCTCCATTGGACTACTTTGTTTACTTCCAGAACATAGTGACATCATTATGTAACATTCACGCTTCTATTGGCTAGCACTCCAACACATTGTACTGTATATGATAGGCTAAGGGGCGGGACATAAGCGGTTGCCCAATCACAACAGAGCCGGCCAGCTAACCAATTACCTATTTGACCAATGACCTTTTCGAACATTAAAGCATGTAAACATGTCTAATCCTTTAAGTAAGTCTTACATTAGTAAAGTAATGATATAGTAATACAAACATAATCCCACTGGGTCAAAACCACATGGGAACAAAACAAGTTGTCCAGAATAAGCTGGTTATTTATGATGTTTTCGAGACTTTAAAAAAACACTGCATATAACCTGATTGAGGCTAAATCATCCTTCCTGTTTCTTCCTGCTGAACTATAGTCTAGAAGTCTGTAACCACGTCTCGGTTCCCAGGTTGTTTTCAGAGTTCTGCCTTTCCCTTCCAAGATGTTTAGCGTGTGCTCTGACTGCAGGAACGCATCGCGCAGCTTCACCTTTAATCAGCTGTGAGCGTTTAGGCGGGCGCTGCATGTTGATGCTGTCTGCAGAGTGATGTATGAATTCCCGCTGTAATCCGGATCGTCCTCGTCTGACTCCACCAGCTCTTTTAGGATTCAAGCTGCCGTCGAACAGCGGGGGGGGGGATGAATAATTCAGGTGAAGAAGTACCGAGAGGTGCTGTGCTTCTGTTTCCAGGAAACTACTGAGTCTTTATAAGAAAGAAACTAAGCTTGGGTTTTTAAAGATGTATGTCGAAACCAACCCCAGTAGGAACCAATGGGCTTGCAGCTGAGAGCCACAGACAGGAAGCAATGTTTCCATTAGAGTTTGACGGAACTTTTTTAAATTACTCTGAAATGTAATGGGTTTTCTCTCTGTCCCGTAGGTCTCCTGACACCGCGAGGACAGACCCTCCCAAATAAAGACTGTTTCCCATCGTCCATCATCACCAAGCATCCGGCAACGCTGCTGAAGAGCCAATGATCCAGAAAACAGGGACATTACCACTTCCTGTGTTGCCCACCTGTGGAAAAACAATCGACTGAAAACGGATTATTTCTATAACTGCAGGATGGATTTTTCTTTTTGTTCTGCAAAAAAACTCTGGTTTTAAAGACCAAAGATGGACAGAGTGGACAACGAGACGTTTTTAGACACACCACCATATGTATGTAAAGAAACACATTGTGATATTATACAGTATTACTGAGCAACGTGAAATTATATAAGAGTAAATGATATAAAGATGTATTATATGAGGAGGGTTGTTGTTTCCGTGACGAGGAGGAGGTGGAAAATCATCAACTTTTATGAACTTTGAGCCGAAACCTAAAGACATATTTTAAAATGACAGTCATCCACAGCAGGAAGCACATTGGTGGAAAGTAGATTCACTCAAATAAAATATTGATGTACTTTACTGGAGTATTTTCTTTTTATGCCACTTTATTCTCTTACTCCCCAATGATTCGTTGCTACTACGACAGCTTCAGCTACTTTACACATGTTTGCAAACCCAAAAGAAAACTGGAATATACAATTGTTGTTGACTCATTTATCATCATAAGATAAATACAGCTTTTGTGTGTGGTTGCCCATTTCCTGTGAGTTTTGTGCATGTAAATGTTTTGCAAAGGCTAAAATCCCGTTTTTTGAACATTAAAGCATGGAGACATGTCCCAGAGTTACTAAACACTAATATGAACCTGAAAATGAGCAGAATAGGCCCTTTTAATATGTTTTAAGTCGGTGAATGACCCTCCTCCACTCCCTCTTTGCGACGGGCCAGTGAGAAGTGGAGCTACAGTGAAATAGGAGAGCATCAACTTCCCAGAATGGAAAGTGAAAGTTTGTCTGAGCGACAGAACAGCTGGGGTGGAGACAAGTCCTCTGTCTCTCAACAACACAGCAGAGTCTCTACCAAACACTGGTGAGTACACAACTGAAATGATTGATCTTTTACAATTTCTACTTACTACATTTAAATATAGCAATGCACTGAACCCTCATGTTTCAACCTTTCTGTTTCTCTAGTTAGAGCTGTAAAGCAGAACAGCTAATAACATTTACAGTTTTTTAAAAAGAGTAAGAAATCAAAACCTCAACTATAGACTGAAAACACTGAAACGTTGACTTTAATTAAATGTGTTACTTCAACAAATTTCAGATAACTGTTTAAAGTTCAGATAACAAAATATTAGGTTAAACCTAATATTATTGCTTTCAACCAACTACTTAATGCAACAATGTTATTTAACATTTCTTGGCATAATACATTTAATTAAATGTAAGTTTCTTCAGTGTACCCAGACAGAAAGTTCCACTCATCTGTCAAAAGAGGTGCAACTGCAAAATAAGCAATGAGAGGGATGGTTTGTGGTTTCAAAATAAATTCTTGTTGGATTTAACAGTTTCAGAGGATGATATTAAGAAGAATAAGAGAGCTTGGGGTGTAATCATTGTAATGCTTAATATATTAGAAGGGATCATTATTTATTTATGTATGTTGCCTAAAAAGTAAAACTCTTAATCTAAATGTACACTAGGGAGACTAAGTCCTGTGCGATGCTATAACGGGAATTGGCTGCGGGAACTTTTGGAATGAGCTCTCCTTAACTCAGCTAATGAATGTAATATATCGACAGATGACACAGTTTAGATTTTTCGAGACAGTTTTGAGTGTAGACATGTCTGCTGCCAGCTGTCTGTTCACTGAAGATCAGTTTCTGTGCTCCATCTGTCTGGATGTGTTCACTGATCCAGTCAGCACACCATGTGGACACAACTTCTGTAAAGCCTGCATCTCTGAACACTGGGATAGAAATGTCCCGAGTCAGTGTCCCAACTGTAAAAGGTTTTCAACATAAAGCCTGAGCTGCTGGTCAACACGTTCATCTCTGAGATGGCTGCTCAGTTCAGACAGTCAGCTCAACAGAAAGCCAGCAGCAGCAGCTCAGAGCAACAAGTTGTCAAACCAGGAGAAGTTCCCTGTGACGTCTGCACTGGAACCAGACTGAAGGCCCTGAAGTCCTGCCTGGTGTGTCTGGAGTCCTACTGTGAGACTCACCTGGAGCCTCACCTGACAAGAGCAGGTCTGAAGAAACATCAGCTGATCGACCCTGAGGAGAACCTGGAAAGCAGGATGTGTGTGAAGCACGATAAACTGCTGGAGCTGTTCTGTCAGACCGACCAGGTGTGTGTCTGCATGCTCTGCACCTATTCAGACCACAAGACACATGATGTAGTTCCTCTGAAAGAAGGATATGAAGGAAAGAAGGCTGAGCTGGGGAAGACAGAGGCTGAAATCCAGCAGATGATCCAGAAGAGACGACTGAAGATTCAGGAGATGAATCGCTCAGTGGAGCTCAGTAAGGAAGGAGCAGACAGAGAGATAGCAGATGGTGTTCAGGTCTTCACCGCTCTGAAGGAGTCTGTTGAGAGAAGCCAGGCCGAGCTCATGGACACCATCAAAGAGAAGCAGAGAGAGACAGAGGAACAGGCTGAAGGCTTCATCAAAGAGCTGGAACAGGAAGTCTCTGAGCTGAAGAAGAGAAGCTCTGAGGTGGAGCAGCTCTCACGCTCTGAAGACCAGCTCCACCTCCTCCAAAGCTTCACGTCCCTGAACGCTGCTCCACCCACCAAGAACTGGACAGAAGTCAGGGTCCGTCCACCTTCATATGAGGGGACTGTGAGGAGAGCTGTGACTCAGCTGGAGGAGACGCTCAGGAAACAGATGAAGAAGCTGCTTGAGGTGGAGCTGAAGAGGGTCCAGCAGTCTGAGGTGGAGGTGACTCTTGATCCTGATACAGCAAATCCCTATCTCATCCTGTCTGATGATGGAAAACAAGTTAAACCTGGTGATGTGAAGAAGAATCTCCCAAACAATCCAGAGAGATTTGATACTTGTGCTCGTGTCTTAGCAAAGCAGAGTTTCTCTTCAGGTAGATTTTATTATGAGGTTCAGGTTAAAGGGAAGACTGGGTGGGTTCTAGGAGTGGTCAGAGAGTCGATCAACAGGAAGGGAGATATCACAATGACTCCTCAGGATGTTTACTGGATAATATGGCTGATGGAAAATGAGTACAAAGCTTGTGCTGGTCCTTCAGTCCGTCTCTCTCTGAAGTCTCAGCCTGAGAAGGTGGGGGTGTTTGTGGATTATGAGGAGGGTCTGGTCTCCTTTTATGATGTTGATGCTGCAGCTCTGATCTACTTCTTCACTGGCTGCTGCTTCAAAGAGAAACTCTACCCTTATTTCGGTCCAAGTCTTAATTATGATGGTAAAAACTCTTCTCCGCTGATCATCTCTCCTGTCAATCACACTGAGTAGAACAACCATTTGATGTTTTCTTTTCTTTGATGCTATTTACTACAATTACATGCACATTTTTCAAAACAAAATGTATATCATGTGATTTCTCATTTATTCTAATGACTGCATTATTTGCCTTCAAGAATGTTGATTTAACAAAGACATGTCCATTAAAGTCTTGAGCCAAGGAAATTAGTTTTCATTGTCCTTGGATTTTCGTCATTTTAGGGGCAAGGCCATTTGGATATGGAAAACAAATCACTTTTTTTAATATCAAACATTATATCATAGGCCTATGCCGCCTTAGTATTACCGTATATACAATGAAATACTTTACTTTGAATAATTAGTGTTTGGTATGTTTTCCATCTACTACTTAAAAATCTTAAATTCTATTAATATGTAACAAATATATTTCAGAGCAGAAGAAACAGCCTTCAAGGGTCAAACTCTGCACATAGGTGATGATAGGTGACAATGATAGGTGTTTATGCTTTAGTTACAATGCATATATGTTACCACTAGGTGGCAGTATAACATCTATGGACATAGATGTGAGCAGAACAAGATGTGAGGGAACTGCATGTTGGCTAATAAAGTTGGCTAGTAAAGCTAGTCTAAAGATCCAAGAAGATGTCTTATTTATAACCAATAAGAACATTACATGGTACCAGGACACGGTTGAAATGTGGATGCGAAATGGAGGACATTCAAGCAACAGTTTCTGCTGTACGCTGCAGCTGTCGGAGCGGATACAAAGTCAGATGCTAGAAAAATAGCAATACTGCTAACCGTTGCCCTACCAGAAGCATTGGAAGTCAACAATACTTTTGTGTTTGCTCAACCAGAGGACAAACAGAACTCACGATGGAGAGCGCCATTAAAATATGCCACGCCAGTGAGCTAGCGCGCCAACATGTACTGACATTTAATGAACCTGCACATGGAGCAGCAAGCCAACATGACGAGGGAGTGAACGCTGTGTCAGTTAAAGCAAAACCGTGGAAAAGATACAGAGATAAAAACAATGATGACGAACAGTTGTTCAGCTGCAAGAGATGTGGGGAAAAACACACATCAAGACAATGTCCTGCTTATGGGAAAATGTGTGCAAAGTGCAAAGGAAAAAATCATTATGCAAAGATGTGCCGTCATCCTGAGAAAAAAATAAATGGAATAAGGTGCACAGAGTTGAAGACTCAGATGACAGTGATGATTTACAGTTTTTCTCGATTGCTAACACACATTTTTTTTTTAATTGCTCAGTTTCTCAGAACACTAAACACAATTCATAAAACCACACACCCAAAGTGCAAAACTCCTAATTTCTCCTGCTAACGTTTTGACCACCCTACACACTGCTGAGCATAATCTAAAGCACTTTCATCTCTACAGGTTCTACAGCACGGTCACATGACTTCACGTCACCACCCATAAGCGAAAGGCGGCTAATGTTGGGCTATAAAGGAACTACAGCACGGTCACAT